ATTGTGATATTATTATTAAATAAATCGTTTTAAATTTGTAATCCTGCAAATTTATTAACTTTGTACAAAAGTATTAATTAAATTTATCAGTTATGTTATCAGGTCAGAAAATACCGATCTTCAAACTTGATTGTTAATGTAACTATTTAATGTATTTAGTTATTTGCTTATCAAGCGATGTTATATTCATTAACCATAATTCATCGATACTACTGTTATTCGACCGGTGTGATAAGCAGGTGCGACAGATGTTATCTGCTTCGGTGCATTGGCTGCACTCACGTATGTATATGTTCGTAGTAATTCGATAAATCAAGCATGTAGTATGGCGTGTAAGCAGGTAATCCGAAGAAGCTTTGCTGAATAATGTGAAACATGTTCTACCGTGCGCGCAAACGAAGTTCATACTACTATGCCATATGTGCAGAAAATTATTATCTATAATGTTGCCGATAAGCATTAATTACAAATTTGCGTATAAAAATTATATTTGAGAGTTATAGAAGTATATTATTATCACATATGCATATTACGTTAAATCCGGCCAAAATAAAATTATGATTTTTTTCTTAAAGAAAAGAATTTTCATATTACGCATTAGATGTATTATAATTTCACAAGTGGTTTAATCATTTGAAATTGACATTTAGATAAAATATTTTATGTTATTTTATTTGAATCGTATTCATTACATCTGCATGAAACTTACAATTTCCGTCTGAAGTATACGTTAAATGCGCAAGTAAAGTTTAATTAAAGAGATTATTACAGGCATATATCATACTTCTAATAGGTAGATAAGCATTTATTAAAAGATTAGTCATCGCGCTACGCACATACATGTATATGCAGTTAAATGATTCGATGAATCATACTTCGTTGCATATTGCACTGCAACCGGTCGATATAGTTCCTAATGAATTTGTTTCCGAACAGGAATTTACAAAGTAATTATGCAATTATATTGTATATGTTTTTAAGATTTTTTATTTGCTATTAAGCAAAATGCTAGCGATATTGACAGGTTGACAATATTTGATTATTAAGTTTGCTGTCAATCTGCCCATACTGCTAATATTTAGCTATCTGAACAACTGTGTGTTGAATCATGAGTTACTTATATCTGCAAAATACTAACTAAAATATTTACGTAGTACATTCTTGTTATCTCTTTCATCTGCTCATTATGTTATTAACTATATCCACAATACAACCATTAGAAACGCGTAACAATTTCGCATGAGAAGACGCAGAACGCATTGTTTTCCAATTTTCTTCGTTCGCAGCCATTCCCAACGTTTATTTTTAGCGGCTCTCTTTTTCCACGCTGAATTCGAGGAATTCAAATGCGCATCGGTCGATGAGATAATTTTTTCCTCGTCGCGCGTGGAACAATGAATATCGCGCGCGATCCCTCATCTCGTCCGGACACAAAGAGAGGCAGAATGTGCGTCTATTATTCGTGCATGGTGCACCGGCGTATTGTGTAATCGCGTGGCACAATTACCGAGCGAGACAACGCGCAGGCAACCGTATATGGGAAACGAAGTCGTGACACAAATCTCGATTACATCTCGCGCGAGACAGAGTTACTTATCTTATCCTGCTATACTCATTCATTTCAAGTCGCTGTACACAATTTACTTTCGATGATTATCTCATGCGCGAATACAAAGCTGATTATGATTAGCATAAAAAAGAAAAGACGAATTTATTACTGTTGTTGGGATAATTGATTTTCGAAAAAGTTATTTTTGCGCTTTAATTTAACTTGTGACGATAAATTAGCGTTTTTTGATTACACGAATAAAAAACGAGAATTTTAATTTAGAAATGGGTTTCCACGAAGGGTAAATGTACTTCTTATATATTATAATATATTCAGAACGTGAAGCATAGTGGAAAGTAGCAGCGAGTAACAGGTTCAATGTACCAGATTTCCTATTTAATACAATGCAAAGTGTTTCCGCAGTTGCGCAAACAGCAACATTTTTTAACGCAGGTCGCGACACGATACTGTCGACACGTTCACGCATCGCCATCGAAATGCATTCTCACGCGTGTCATTTACCACAGGCGTATGCATATGATTACGTGTTTATACGCGCCGATTTCTATCTCGATAAGTGTACTGGATAGTTAGCTGCACCGTGATTAAATCGGTCGACTTGCCGGGCAGAAAGTTTCTATCGAATTTCACTCGGCTCACCTGGTTATCGGTCGATTAATATGATTTTCCTATTCTAATTCGCATCACGTATAGCAAAGAAAAGCGCCTTACGCGTGCGATACTAATTATCCGCTCGTTTTCATCGTGCGCTCGCGCCGCTTAAAATAGCTGGCTTAAATGCACGCTTAATTCGCCGCAGTATGTTAATTGCGCGGCGGTTTCAGCATCACTTTTTACGCGCTTAATTAATAAGTTCTTGTAATTGCAATGTGCTCAACATTCTGTGTACATATATAATCCTTAAGAGTGATGTATTAAAAAATGTACAGTGAGTCACAAAATTATTCGCTCAGTCGAGAATGCAACAAAAATGAATAAAATAATGAGACAACAAAGGACTTTTTGAAATTTTTTTATTTGGAAATACATAATTTACAGTTTAATATAACAGAATCGTAAAAAAATTTGAAACATTGTGGTTTATAATTACAGAAAAATAGGTCATAACAATTCTTTACATGTTTTCACGTCACAAAATTATTCGCTTACGCTACGAACCGGCTAAAACAAATGCAATCTACAAACTTCGATGGGCATTTGTTTCTGATTGTTGCTTAAGATAGTCAGTATAACATAGAAAAGCATTCAGTAAGCATTTCATTATAACCATTTCCATTTATAACTTCTCGTTTCAATAATTCATTATCATGGGCAGAAAAAGCAAAGAAACAAATCTAGAAATTAGGAAATTAATTATTTTTTATTGGAAAAATGGTAAATCTTTAAGAGAAATTGGAAGTATTGTTTGCAAAAGTTATTCGACGGTGCGATACGTTATTAAACGATACGAAGAAGAAGGGCGAATAGAAAACAAAACAGCGTTTCGTAGTTAGAAAAGTTAAAGAAAATCCGAAGATAAGTGCTCCCGAATACTCACTTTTTCAAAATTTCTCTAAAAAAGAAGTTTCACGAAATAATTCGAAGAGTACTACGGAATAACGGGTACAACAGTCGTGTAGTTAGAAGAAAACCTTACGTAAGTGAACTTAATAGGAAAAAAAGAATAGAATTTGCTACAAAATTTATTTCAAAGCCTCCGGAATTTTGGCATAATGTTATATTTTGCGATGAAAGCAAATTTAATATTTGGGGCTCCGGCGGCCATCGAAAAGTTTGGAGAAAATCAAACGCGGAGTTGAATCCCAAGAACCTGTGTAGTACAATTAAACACAGAGGCGGTCATGTAATGGTTTGAGGGTGCATCAGTTATCAAGGTGTTGGAAAACTACACATTATTACAGGAACGATGGACAGAACGATGGAAGATAATATATTTAGACATTTTGAAAAAGAATTTGAAGCAAAGTGCTCAGGAGACGGGGATCCCAAACAATTTCCACTTTTATCAGGACAACGATCCTAAGCATCCATCTAGATTAGACAGGAATGGTTGTTGTATAATTGTCCAAAAATATTGAAAACTCCATCTCAGTCCTTCGACTTGAATCTAATAGAGATGGTGTGGAATATGTTAGATATTAAAATACGCAAACATTCTATTACAAGCAAAACTGAGTTGCAAAATAGATTACAAGAGGAATGGCAAAAAATAGACAGCGATTATTTAAAAAATAGTAGGATTGATGCCAAAAAGACTTGCCGAAGTTATAAAACAAAAAGGGTATCCCACTAAATATAAATTTTATTAAAATAATAATTTCTACAAAATAAGCGAATAATTTTATGACGTGAAAACGTGTAAAGAATTGTTATGACCTGTTTTTCTGTAATTATAAACCACAATGTTTCAAATTTTTTTTACGATTCTGTTATATTGAACTGTAAATTATGTATTTCCAAATAAAAAAATTTCAAAAAGTCCTTTGTCGTCTCATTATTTCATTCATCTTTGTTGCATTCTCGACTGAGCGAATAATTTTGTGACTCACTGTACATCTTCTCACGATTAAACGCGCTTTGTAGTCTTTTAATTGTATTTAAAAAAATATAATGTCTGAACAATGCGATTAAAAAAAATACGACTGTGTCTACAACTTTGTATGACGTTATCAAGTGCAAGCTGATATATTCCAGCTCATACTTTATACTAAAAATAGATTAAGATTGAAATTTTTGTTAAATAGAAATTAAGTTAGGGAGACGAAACTGAAAGAGTTCTTGCAAGGCCTTTCAGATCGTTCGCATATAAATTCCACGCATCTAATGTCTGGAAGAAACTCGAATTTCTGCTACGCTGCTGCAGATAACGCTGCTGCGTGGAGTAACGTTGATAGCAGGAATACAAATATTATCACTTGTACCAGTTATTAACTCACTGTGCGTATCATGTACGAATTTTTCGAATTCCGCTGCGTAATCTCCACGTCGAGGAACATAAGTTCGCTTTATTTTGCTCTCCTCTTCGCGCCCGTTATAATCGATGTACTGCACAAAGGATGCTCACGATAACAGTGACGTCGTTGACCGCTTGTCACTCACTCGGAACTTGCATTATTCAGCGAACTTCCATGTTTCCTTTGTGGAGGAGGCTGCCCGGGGGAATCTATGTAAAATAATGTGAGAGGCTCATATATACGAGATATTCTCGGTAAGGAGAAAGAAATACGACACTGAAATTCTCGCCTGAAACAAGACGTACCGGGTGTTCTGAAAATGAAGAATTTGCATTTTAAACTCGAGACGTCTTTGAATTTATTTGACAAAAATTTAATTCCGGAATACTTCTGCCAAACAAATCTGCTTTAATTTAAAATAAAGAATTCCTCGTGACTATAACAATTGACGATGATGTTTTACTTTCTCATTGCAGACACATACCAAAAGCCAAAGCCACCACGATGGCGGAGACACCGGAGCTGAAGCGTATCGCGGAGAACACGAAGATACAGAGTAACGTGAAGTATCATGCCGAGTTTGAGAAAGCGAAGGGGAAGTTTACGCAGGTGGCAGACGATCCGGAGACTCTCAGAATCAAGCAGAACAGTAAGATTATCTCGAATGTCGCCTATCACGGTGAGCTTGAGAAGAAGGCAATTATGGAGCAAAAGAGGACAATGACCGGAGAAAATGGCGAACAAATAGGTAAGTGGTTTCTACATTTTTTTCTTCGATCGGGTTTGTTGCTACAATATCGTACTTCTTCAGTTATATCTTATATATTCAAATGATGATAAATATAATCACCACGCATTACGTATCACATGAGTTCTATTATTTCATAGCAAAAATTCATTAGGCGTAAACTGTAATCATAATGCTGTCGTAAAAAAATCATAAGCTTCCTATCACAAAATCTGTTGGGGGAAATATTTTGATCAAAATGTAATTTTTTTGTAACAACTGGGAGTATCTTTTTTTGTACATCAATGTGTTTCACAATCTATTCATTAATAAATTATCTAATTATTCGCTATTAATAATCGTACAAATTTGTGTGTGTGAAGCTGGCGTATTATTTCGTGGAAACTCATTAATCATTGAGAGTTAAAAACTTAAAGAGTTAAATTCTAAAGTTTTTAAAATCTGACAAAAAATGATCAAAAATCGGAAGATAAATTGAGACACAGCCTGGTGTTCCAGTTTGTCTTAAGCCATATTCTTTGATTTACGACCAGATTTATTTATCTTATCTGTCAGGAACTTTAGAACTATTAGAAATAAAGCCAGAACTTTGAATAATTAATGAGTTTCCACGGAATAATACGCGAGTTTCACACGCACACTACAAATTCATGGGTTTAATATCACATATATGAATAATAATTTTTTAAATTATTAATAAATAATTATTTACAGAGCGATATTTACGTAATCATCAATTTACTAAATATAATTAATAACAGAGTTTTTTCATATTGTTCAATTCACCAAACAGTGTAAAATTCGGATGGACGAAGGATAACAACGTTTTGTGTCATTTCAATATCCACAATTCATAATCCAGTATTCGCTACACGTTCGTGGTGGGCGGAGTGTTCGCCTCGCTTCTCATTAATCGTATCGCTAGCTTCTCTGTGCTTTGTTGATATAGAGTACGTAGAGTACACAGACGGCACGATCGCCCCTGCATCGAGTATAAACGCCAATCCGCCGCCTGCAAGAACGGCGAATTCGCCGGTACAGAGGACACCAGGTAGGATCGCCGATTACGATCCCCTTAGCGAAGCGAGGCCGAGTCCCTATTCCGCAAGGCAAGCTGCTACTACTGTCATTTATACGAGCGACAAGGGACCAGGTGCGTTTACCTTCGCGATTGCAATCACTGCAACTTTTCGCTGTGGACGTTGCATGACTACGCTATACTTTCTTATTATAATTTAGTTTAATTGTACCATTAATAACATTGATTTAGAAGAACGCGAATAATGTTTATTAACGTCATAAATAATGTTTAATTACATAAAAGAATATCATAATGATCGTTTATTGAACAAATATCTTGCAAGCAACAGATGAACATAATTTGTATTTATATTTAATACGTAACGCTATTATTTTTTATGTTTTGATTTTTATATTATTAGTCACATTTAATTAATTGATTGATATTTGAGATTTAATTTCTTTCGGCTATGTCCGCAGAGAGATAATTGTATATTAGGTGTATTGAATATCAGTAATAGAGATTTGCGAAAATTTAACGAAGGGGGGATTTTAATGAAGCGTTTTCTATTGCGATGACTTATTCGCATTTTATGACCATGTTACGATCATGCGGGATGGAACCCGCATAATTAGATTGAGTAGATTGGGCTTACTCTTGAATTACTCTTCACGATGACTTAGACAATGTTCAGCTACTTCTATTGTATCCCCAGTATTATTGCGGCCTTAAATTGTGATGTCGCCTAAAGTTCTATTATTGCTTGTCAGATTTAAACGCTCTTTTTATATTTGCATCATTGTACCTGCATCTCACGCGATTCATCAGCGAAGCAATTTGCACTGGAATTAATTGTTACGACATGTTTGCCTTGTTGGGAAAGTAGAAAGTGTAATCGCTTCTGTTCAACGTTCTTCTTTCTGCTTCCGTGTTTATTCGTCACTAAAGCTTCTGCGGCGGATCTAAAAATATTTCCGTTAATTAACAATGAAACGAATTAAGCATTTAGTAGCATGTGTAAATGTAGAAAATTATCTGCATATTATACATAAAAATACATTGCAGTGACGAATCCACCGACACGAAAAATCGGTTCGGTCGCTGATATTGATCCAGTGAACGAATATTATGGATCGTTAACGCCAGCCAACACGAACAATAATCACGTCTCTCAGCATCAACCTCAACATCAAATTCAGCATCAACAGCAGCATCAACCTCCACCACCATCCTCCAACGTTGGGGTAAATTTTTAATTACTGTTTACTGATATTGCTGATCATTATATTTTATTTGAATATTGAAAATTACGAACTACAAAAGACTACTGTGTAAACAGAATTCGATGTGTCTTAAATAAAGCAAATGTTTTATTTTTTTTTCTTTTTATAAAAATATTTTATTTTTGCAGAGAGTGTACAGAGCGATGTATGACTACGAAGCGCAAGATCTCGATGAAGTAAGCTTCTGCGACGGCGATTTGATTGTCAATTGCACGGCCGTCGACGAGGGTTGGATGACTGGATTGGTGCAACGTACGGGGCGACATGGCATGCTACCTGCTAATTATGTCGAACCGGCACAGATTTAAACATTTTTCAGGTCGAGCTTTCATTCGCTAACCGTTGATTATCGCCGCTTCGATCACAGCGCTCAAACGGAGCGTACTGCTGAAGGGAGAGACGGCATAAAGTAAAAAATTCGCGATATAATACTCGAGATTAACGCTTCTACTTGCGGCTCTTGTTATTCCTTTGATCGAAACGGCGAATCATCTTAGAAAATCAGACATTTTAGATAACAAGTTTCGTACAGAATTTTCATAAAATCGAATATTTTACTCGCAAACTATTTGCCGATAATAGAGAGATAAATTTGAAAATTATAATTTTTAAGGTCTGCTTTACAAATGCACGGGGGCTTCGTGCTTCGTAAATATCCAAGTTAACGCGAGTACGCTCGAATGTCGAACATAGTTTTATATGCTAGAATTCCATGATGGGACCAAACTACATAATTGCGATAAATTGTGCCGATAATAATTAAAATTCTGACAGCTTATGAGGTGATGCGTGTTTTGACACAAATTGGGAAGAAGCAAGTCTAACAAATTTTTCTTGTAATTTTTTTCACTTTCTTGTGAAACATTACTTTCTTTGTTATTATTTTTTATAAACTTCTCAAACATTATTTCTTTGTTTTAATATTTTCTTATTCTTTTAACCAATTAAAATTACATAGCTAAAATATAGAAATCAAGAAAATACAATAATTTTATTTAATTCAAAGGTTCTTTATGGGTTTTCTGTTAATCATTCTTTTTACAATGATGAGAATTTTATGTTACTTGTTATAAATTCTGACTAATATATTACGATTAGTCAGGTTTTTTCTGATTATTTTGCATTTATAACACTACATTCTACTTGTTTTTATAATATTGTCCGTTCTGATTCTCTTACTTTTTCAAAGATCTTCAAAATCTATTTTAATCATGATATCTAATCTCTTTTTTCTTTTCTCTTGATGGCAACAAATCTTCCCTCACATTTTTAGTCAAAAGAAAACAATACAACGTGCCTTATATATACATTCTTATATATATTTATATATATATATATATATATATATACATACATACATACATACATACATACATACATACATACATACATACATACATACATACATACATACATACATATATATATATACACATATATATATATACATATATAGGCTGTTAATTACTAGTGGTATCAATTTCTTTATCACAATAAGACCGAGTGAAAGAGCATCAGAATAGCATATTTAAAGAAATAGGAACAAATTTTTATAATGCAACAGTGCCGTGTTAATGTAACCTGAGTTATAATTTACAAAATTAATTGCAAAAATAAAATGAATAAAACTATTGGGAAACATAATGTTTTTGACGCAAAAGATGCTGACACTTGCCTTTCTTTCTAACTACAAAGCATGAAAATAATCGTTATATACCGTTACTGGTCTTCAATTAATTAACAACAATTAACCAATATTTACTGCGTAGCTTTTAAGTTTTATTTCGTATGATCCACTTGTATGCTTCGCATTTCGCTCCAAAATTACATTTACGTGTATTTGTTGACATAAGTTATCATTTGGCAACTCTGAGGTTACCAAATAACTCGAACATTTTTAATTAAAAGTATATTAACGGTATATTTAGCGCATCCCGATGTCGAGCACCTTTTGCAAAATTCAAAAGCGCAGTACTAGCCACATTGGCCAGCACGACAACCAATCTCTTTAAATAACTTGTTCGAATTCGGTCGTTTTTTCTGTAATATGTAGACATGATCGCATGTCGGATAATCTTAGGGTAAATCGATTGCTAATAGAGTGTCGTGTTGTCATTACGGGGTGCTTTTCAGTGCCTTATCGTACTTGTCATTGCATTTTTAAATTGACATTCAACTGGTTCCTCAGAAACGTATCCATATTGCATTTACCTGAATAGGCGGATTATACTGTGAAACGACGTCCGATGATACTGCAAATTAACGAAACGTGTAAAGATAATAAATAATTCGTTGTTTGCGAGCTACACGTGACGTCGTTTGACATCGTTTATAAGCGAAGAGAATGAATATTTTTGGAAACATGTTATGCAGCACGTTTGTAATTATTAGTTCGCTGATAAGAGAATTTCAAATTTTAATTACAACATACAGAAATATATGTTAGCGTTGTGTTTAGACAGATAATATTATATTATCGTATCAAATCATAAATAATGAATATGTATGTTATGTAAATCTTGTAGTTCATTATTGATAACTCTACCGATACACGAAATCCCTGTTCTTTCATCATCGATGAATATTTCCTTTTCTAGGTTTCATTCTGAAAGAAACAAATCATAAAGATGCATATTTATGTCTGTATTTTATGATAGTATATATAATTTATCTTTATTCATTCAGGTTTTGTTATAAACTTGATATTCACCGAAAGAGGTCGAGTTTATGAATAATGTCATTAAGATATATATCACATATTGTTTTTCTTCAAAGAATATAACGAATGAGAATTATTCTTATATATATTTTATCACTAAACTCGAGATTCTTAGACAAGTTAAATGAGCATCTTATTTTAGCATCACGTGGTATTTGGTGATTTTAATGGTGTAAATTGTTTGATATTATTTCAAGAGATAACGTGAGTTTCATTGGTATTCGGTGTTATCGCAGAATGATCAGTCGAATAGCAGATATTTGCGAGATAAATTAGCTGCGAAATGACAACCGTTAAACAGTTCTCATAACGAGATCGCGAATTCATGAAAGGCATGTGGTATGCAGAGATATAAAATATGCAGATTTATTGAAAGTAATATAAATACAATAAAATGATAATTATCACATAAGATAGTCAAGATCGCTGCATCGAGTGCATGTTTCAAAGTTTCTGAGCTTGGTCCATCTCAAGATTTATCGTCAAACCCGATAATTTGTGTGATCATGCATGATCGTCGAACCGTTGTATTAGCACGAGAAAGATTAAAGACTAAGGTATAAAATTTTTTAGCATTAAAGTGTATTGCCGAGAGCCGTGATGTATCGAACTTGATCGACTTCGCAATTCAATCGTCTCAAGCGTACACACCTCGCATTTGTATAATATTATACTATTTTGTTAGACACATCTCTCGCATCGTAATCCAGCCCAGATCGCTTTGCAAACCTTTCTAATATCAGTAGAAGCAACTTTATTTATATGCTATAATGAACACTGTAGCTCGTTCTGTCAGAGAGCGAGATATATTTTACTGTAGCAATTGATAAATTGATCGATACTTTGACACAATACTGCACGATACAACATAGAAGCGTGACTTGAAATATATGGATGATACATGGTATTTCTTAATATAATAAAACGAAACTTAAGCGTTATACTGGCTAATTAGACCGCACTGTTTAATCGTACGGTGGAATGTGCAAATGTCAAGAAAATTTCTAAATAAATGTTAGCGCTGTCTCTAAAAACTAAAATGCAGATATTATAAGCAGGAAATCTCGGTACACTATACTGATCACATTCTAATTTATCGGTGATAATTTTTTTCTTTAAATTTATCTTCTTTTATACGATAGGTACAAATTGGTATAATTATCGAAAAAGTTTATACGTTTCGCTTTAGTTTCCTGCTTATAAACGTATCTTGAACACATCTGTCGCAATGGTATGAACATGTGACTCTTAAGGCCATATGGACTCGATGTAGAATGAGTCGCAGAATGAGTGTGAAATGGAATTTTCGCGTAGACATCATTTCTGGGCCCGTACAGTTTACGCATTTTTATCAATGAAACAGCGCAACTTTCGACGTGATGATAATTTTCGGTAGAAATTAAACGGAATGGAAACAATTTATCATGTTAAAGGTTCCTTAACAACTAATATCGTTATGAATATAAGATATGGGTAAATTTAAGGGATAATACAAATCGTACAGGTTATTCGATTCGATAATAATAATAATATTCGGAATAATCGGAGATGATCGGAAAGATAAGATAAAATTGCTGTGCAGGTATAGGCGCGGGTAGCAAAACTGACGTTCAATAAATCGCCACGGTCATTGAGCAGGGATTTCATATCAAATATCGGAAGAGAAATACGTAATCGTCGGAGTTTCTCACATCTTGGAATGTACAAATACTTTATACGCACCGCGTTTCAAATGAGGTCTCTATTCCGAGGTAATTCCTGTGTAAATTTTACAAAATGTTTGAAGTTTGTTCGAAGTAAAAGTTGATTAAGTTGAGAAATTACAGGACACATGACGATACTTTCGGCGAAAAATTCGGATTAATCGTTAAACTCTGGGCCGTCCATCGAGCGTCGCGCGATTAACGCTAAATGTCAACGATCATCCTCTCCCCGTCCTCGATTTTTCTCAGCGAGTAGGATGCTTAATGTTATTGGACGATGACGTGTGGCGAAGGGTCCGCGTGCTGGCAGTGTTATTTTATCTCATAGCGTGAACAATCTGGTTTTTTTCTTTTTTTTTCTCTTTTTCTTTCCGCGTGTAACAGCCCTGCCATACGCACTTAGCCTGCCTGCTAATATCCGGCGAGGTCGGCGAATGTCTGATCCATCTCGTCGGCAATCGCTTTGTATTTACAGCGCTCGCTTACCAGCACATCTGCAATGAGAAGGGAGGGAACGTGGATTAGTGGATGGCACGATGGTTAGTCGGGTGTACATTTTAATATTTTGAATCGGAAAGAGAAAGAGACACACAGAGAAAGAGCGCACATTTTTACGATTTATCGCGAATTATATTGATACTTTGGAATTAGACAATCATTACAGTCACGAAATGGCTTGAAATAAAACTGGAAAGGAGGAAAATTGATTTTCATATAATTTCATCTCAGAAGATTCGATAAAATGTAGGATTTAACTTTCCATATCGATAAAATTCATATGGAAATTCATATTTTCAAGAGCGAACGTAGCAGCAGCCTATTTTAATTTGTCAAAGGATAGGACATTAGGTATAAAGAAAAAAAAACAACGCATTAAACTTTATCTGATACTTTATTTATTCTTTTTTTGGAAGTATTTGGAACAAAAATAGACTTATACAGTGTCGATAATTGTCAGTCACTTGCGACGAAATTATCAAGATAACTGTAGAAATCAATAATGTTTTATTAATGACACGTACAGAAATCGAACTGTACTTTTCTCTTTGCTCTATTTACCGCGCGTTTAATTGTCAAAGCAGCGTAATGCAATTAGAACTATACATTAGACATTGTATTTCGATTGATTAAGCGGTGCTTTCAAAATAAATATATAATCGCGACTCCGTGGTTACTTTATAAATGAAGGCCGAAAGTGCAATATGGAATTATTGACAAATAGAAAAGAATATGTTGGACGCGGAACGTATTTATAATACACTGATTCCAGTTACGATAACAAAAGTGTCGGCGTGCATCGGATGAGCGATGCCGTGAGTCGACTGTGATCGAATTGTGCGCATGATGCTCATGTACGGCCAAATAATTCGACAGCGGATATTCGGCAGCCGACTCAGCTGATTTAACCAACCAGTTCGGTGAAGGTAAGGTCCAGGTCGTCGCAGATGTATTTGTACTTCTCCTTCTCGTGAACGAGTTCGTCTGCAAGAAAACATAGCGTCGTTAGAATCCATCAGTTACGAATTGTAGGTGAATTATAATTAACAGTTTACATAAATTTTCAGAAACAGAAGGATAAATTTGTAAGACATTTTTTGAAAGCAATTTGATTTCTCATTGATCATTAAGTATATTCAGCATTCAATGATTTAAACGATGTAGAAAAAAAATGTGAAAGTGATGCATAGAAATCAGGTAACGAAATGTTAGCAGATTGACAGCAAATTGATCAAATTTTCTGTCGTCATTGTTAACATTTTGCTTGCGGGAATGTAATAGATTCTTATAGCAGGCGCTCGGTTGGAGTTACGATTATTAGCAGCGGGCGGATTAAAAAGCATAGATGGGCAACTTACGGAATATGTGTTAAGTGCAAGCTAAATTTGTAAGAAAGGTTTTTCTATGTTTATTTTATTTTTGCTGAAGCGTTAGGAGTGATTAGTAGCTGCGTTAGACGCCATAGAGCTCCATGAACGCATTATCCAGGCCGTCTCCGACCTCCTTGAATTTCTCCTTTTCGATCACCATCTCATCTGCAAGCATTCGCAACGTTATAGATAGTCGTTACGTAGTTATGGTTTATCTACTGATGCGTGGTGTGAAATGAGCAGCATCGAAGAGATGTGAGAATCAAGATGAGACGTGTGTTTAATGTTGTTAAAATTGCGGGAATCGCTGAGCAGGCACGTGATTGTGGTGTCACTCAAGCAGGAATATAGCAGTGAAAATAATAATCGAGTTGGATGAATCATCGTGGAATGCGAATCTTAATGTATGCGGCCAAAGATGTGACTTATTATTCTTAATTAAGCGCTAAATATCTTCGATTAGATATCATTTAAATTTTGTTATAATGCTCTTCTTACGTAATAGTTTATGTATTTTGAATTAATTATATTACATATAATTATAAAAATACATTTTTCACTGACTTTTTTATGATATAATATTAACCCAATAAGCAAAATGTTAGCAATGTTAACATTGCTAACATTTAGTTATCTGGGAATATAATGATTACGTTATGTATAACTGTTATGTATAATGATTACATTATGATAACATAGTTTATATACTGACAAATATTGAATATTATCAATATCAATAACATTGTGCATTTAAAAGGCATATCTGCGAAAGTATAAATGTAATTATTTTATGCCAGAGATAAAAGACAATCGTGAAGTTCAATATTATATAGAAATGTAAGATTTGTCATGCGTTAATTAATTAGCAAAATCGGATTAAGCGAATTTACTCACCGTAAATGTAATATACGTACCACACTTTCTTCGTTCATGCAACTTGTTACTGGTCTAACAACAAAGGCGGCCACAGAGTTATCGCGTGGACAGTAGTTATGTCGTTATATTAACGGTGGAGGATTAATAACAGCGCAGGTGAGACAAAGAAAAAGTAACAACACAACGAAAACAAACTACACACTCTCTTTTTTCAAAATTAAAATATATATTATAAACAGTTTTATAATAATAGTATATAATAATCATTATTATTACAATGATATTAGTGTTATCATTCCATTCATTTTATTAATATTAAGTAAATTAATAAACTAAAACTCTCTTAAACTCAAGTATCTGCGTTTCCATAATTTTTAGGATTATTCAAAAAGAAAAGAATGGGGCTAACAAAAATCAACGATGGGACAAGTAGTCTCGTAGTTGTGCTTTTCGCGATTACTTTCTTGGCTTTCGACAACGCTTGCTCGTGGCGGCGTTAACTCGGAGAACAAACGATCGCGCTATCTACGGGTGGCCTTTCGATCACGCATATATGTTACGATGTATACCGGGCTTCGTTCATCGTCATCTTCGGTTGCATAAATAGCAATAATAATAAACGTTTTTGCAAAATATACAATTCAATGTATTCCAAACGGAATGTTATTTCAACAACATGATCTCATTTGCGGAATGATTACTGTGTACTTACTAATATCGTAATTGTATTAACAAAATATCGATTTGTACAATAATTAATGCGACGTAATTAACCAATTATAAAAAACTAATTAAAATTAAAATGTCTTTCGTGCAAAAAAAGACAAAATGTCTAGAAATCAATTTTAAGCATACATGATTATTCTATTAGATAATTTTATGATAGTTCAATGACCGTACGAGACGATAATATACATGCACTATATATCGAAACGGGAAGAGGACGATGCACATCCCTGCATCAAAAGGCCATCCAAGAATATGCTGCAGAAAAAGTGCTACAAGAATAACCATGAAGGGTTACGACATCGTGATCGAGGCAGTATACGCGACATAAATGCGTTTTCCTTTTAAGAAAAAAAAAAAATAATAATAAAAAAGAAGATTAGAAGAGAAAATTTCTGCGCGAAATTAGTGATATTCGATGGCGAGCGTGAAGTAGCAGTAAGATTAACGATAACTGTATTAATTAATAGTAATAGTAATTAGAGACGAACTATGCGCCGCGAAGTGGAAGAATCGGGCATTCTCGTTTCGACGATCGATCGTTTGTTGTGTTGTACATTCGAAACGAAGCACCTTGCAACAAGGTCTGATTTGGCCGTGGTTAGTATCTATATAATAGATATGTACAGGCACGATCGGTAAATATCCAATGGCTCAGCTAGCACGGGAAGCTGCGCTGCGGCATGACGTAAGACAGCCAGTTGCTTCCCTGTTTCTGGCTTAAATATTACACGTTGGCTCAATTATATCGTAGGCTCGAAGTTACAAACCGCTCGAAATATAATGTACATATACTACGAGTAGGCCGGATAATTTCAATTTATTTTCTTCCACGAAAAACAATTCGACTCGTGGCATTGCGATTGCATCGATGCGTTTATTCTGATCGAATAATATTGCACAACAAAGACAAAGACGTACTACGAAAATATACTTTTAAAAAACTGCTGGCAGTGGAACTTCTTTTTTTTTTATTAAATGCACGATTTATTGCTCGTTGTCGTCTTTGCGTTTATCAGCGGCAATGAGAAGGTAATAACGATGTTTATCCGGGAAAATCGATGAATGAAAGAAACTGACGGAGTTCTTCCTGCGCGAGCTGAGCCGCGTGAAATGCGGAATGTAAAGCGACAAAAAGTAATGTGAGCACTCTGTTTCCCTCCACTGAATTCAAAAGGGAGCTCTGCGACGCGTATTTTCACACCGCGCGCGAATTTGATGAAAATCGCTCGATTGAGAGAATTGGAGAATATAAAAAAAAATAAAAAAAAAATAAAAAAAAAAGAAAAATGAGTCACTTCTAAAAGATTTGTTACTTAATAAATCCTTCTGGTTTTAATAAGGAACGGGATTTCACGTAAGACGAGTCGAGCGCATTTTACTATATAATTATATAGTAAGTATAATATTATATATAATTATATAATAGATCACATAGAAACATCGTCTTTGGCGCATAAAACTGATACACTTGAGAAAATTGGCTCCAAATATCCCATCGAACATATTTTCTCTCAGCATGTAAATGATTCAGTCCGTCTTGTCTTCCTTTCTCCCGTTTTATCTCTCTTTATCACTCTAATTTCTACTCGCGTATTCCTCCCACGGCCAGTTTCGTAACAAATTTAAATTTAAGTTCGCGACGAGCCCGAAGACGCCTCAAATCGGTCGCAGTCGTGCCTCGGTTTTTCCTCGAATTAAAATTTAACGGCAGACTAAGCTAAAATCTAAAGCTAAAGATAGATTTAGATTACGAATAACTCCATATTGTTTACGGAACCATCCTGCCGTTTGTCCTTGTCGCGAATTGTTTATTCTTCCTCATTCTCTCTATCTTCTCGTTTTCTCTCTCTCTACTTCTGTCGTACCAAAACCTCTCATTCTGTATCTCTCGCATACATATGCACATATTTTCCACACTCTTTCATTTACTCCCTCCTTTTTCTCATTGTACATCAGTCTCTAGCTTGCGTCATACGCGCATACAAACACGCATAATACATACACGCATTGCGGATGGACGTAATGGAGGGTGTAAGGCTATCCTAAAGACTGCATTTTTATCCGTTAATGTTAAAGTGTGCACTACACACGAAGCGCTCGCGCCGTAACGGCGTGCTTGTTTCTCATTCACTTCTCGTTGCCGCCGTTCTGCTATCGCTTGCATTTGTCTCTTTCGTTCTTTCTTTCTTTTTCTTTTTTTTACTCGGATGTTAACATTCTCGCGTTAAGAGTTTTTGTCCATCGCGAAAAACACGATTTACATGTTCTGGATGTCATGCAGGGTGGCCTCCATCTCCTCCTGTAGCAATTTGTTTTTCTCTCTCTCGGCCGCGAGGTCGTCTGTAAAGATCACTGGTTAAAGGGAAGTAACACACGGCAAGCCACACGCGAGCGTAACACTGCGTTTCGGCGGTTAGGTGGGTCAATGCGCAAATAAAACACGGCACACACACACGGCGGAAAAAATGGGACTGCTTTACGATTGTCGAATCGCCATATTCCTGGCGTGTATCATAATTACACTGAGCATGAATCCAAGAAAATGTTTGCTATTTAATTATTTCCATCTGAGAATTTTTTCGGCAGATAAAAGCTTTTCTGCTACGTTATCCTTTCAAAAAATTAAACCGGTACTGATTCGTAGCAATTTATTTCTTCAATATTTCTTTAACTCCTGATGCTAGGAGTTTAATTGCAAACTTTTTCAAGTCTTCAAAAAATCTAGCTACTTGATCTACATAATTTAATAATTTTTAATCATTCAGAAAATACTAGCTTCTTGGAAAACTTCCTCCTTGAATATTTTTCTCTTTCTCTTTCCATTCGATGAAAAAATTCCATTTGTATTATAAAATCTATGTCGCAAAAGTGTACTCTAACATATGTTGACGTAGTTATTTAGAAATCTAACTAAATTCAACGAAGTACAATATCGAAAAAGATATATTGAAATAATTATGTCAATGTTATTTTTGCTTATATACGCACCTTCGAGCCTGTCAACCTCCTTCTGAAGTTTCTGTACGGATCTTTCCGCGAACTCAGCACGTGCCTCAGCCTGCGCAAATGCAATATTTTGTCAGTTAAAAAAATTACACAATTTCGATATAATCACTCATCGATTTCAAAAGAACATTTCAATGTTGCAGGACATATAACTCGGAAATATAATTCTTCAAAATTCACGTCTATTTTTATTCTTTTTTCCTCTTTTGAAATCGTTGAGAATATTAATTAACAATTAGATATCATTTATTATTTTATTAGATTATTTCACACCATGCAAATAAAAAATTTCACATCACACATGATTACGTGATAAATTTAAATCGAGGTTTAATTGCCACACATCATATTGCGTGATTAATATGCTAAAAATAATACTTCACTTTTTCGAATAATATGATAACTGACGAAAGCTTACAGTATTATTAATGCATTCATGTTCGTCATACCTCGTGATATAATCTGCATATGCAGCAGATTTGCCTACATATTCATAAAGATTTCAAAAGTTTCACATACTCTCCGCTAATTTTATTCCTCGTACACAATTAGAGCGACTCTCTTGCCAATATTAAATATTATTTTAATTTCAAATGTCATTTTATCCAATTTTTATCTGAATATATTATCTGAATAATTTTTATCTTTTTCAATAATGTATGAAGCATACGATCTAATCGAAATCAAAGTGACAATGTAATCACATTCGATGCAAATTTTCTGATGTATATTTAAAGTCTTGTCTTAATTCAATTCAATTTTAATCCCGCTCGCTTTTACTTACCTCTTTCAATTGACTATCCAGAATCTTCACCTGACCCTCGAACGTCTCCTCTCTCTGCGTCGCCTGTGTTTAATCAAGCACAACAAAAAGACAAAACGTTCTCTCGTTAGTCCACCGCAATATAAAACACGATTCAGTTATTTGTAAAGGAAAAAATTAAGTCAAATGCAAAACAACAGAGGGGCGCGCGAGTTAATATTTTACAATTAGTGGCATTAGATTTACGACGCGAGGGATAGATCACACGTTAAAAGATGCAAAGCAACACACTCCCAAAGGATGTGTACCTCCTTTAGACGAGTAGTAAGAGTCTTAATTTGGTTCTTGTATTCCTCCTCGCGCTGGTTAGCCTATATACAATTATGCAAATATTATTTCTCTCGCGTGTAACAATGATGCGCTTCTATTTAGAACGTTCGGTTTAAAATAAAATGTCAGCACATACTTTCGCTTTAATTTAGAATTTATGAGCGAATTAAGGTATATCTGATTGGTTTTCTATCTGTAATAATTTCTGACATTAAATATGGGCTAATTGGTAATTAAGAAGATCATTATGATATAAAACGAGATTTATGGGGAAATATGTTCCGTTCTAATTGTGTTATATATCGCGCGTAAAATGTATTAATTACCTTCTCTTCGGAGACCTCGAGGGACTTCAAGTTATTGCCGACGACACGCAACTCTTCCTCAAGCTCGACGATCTTGCTGTAAAATTAATTAACAGTTTAATTATCGAATAAGGTTTTGAAATTTTTAATAGAGTAGCGTATAAAAGAGGATTTTAAAATTACAGACGAACATTTCCACCTTTGCAGAATCGCATAATAAAAAAATCCCTTGAGCAAATTAATAGAAGAAAACTCTCTTTTAATCTAAAAAATAATTATGATAAAGATTTGTACAGTAAAAAACTTTATTGATTTAAAATATAAAAACTATTACTCACACTACAATTAATTTTGCGTTGAAACATTCG